CTTATTTAAAGTTCATATTATCTAATTATCTTATTTTAAGAGAAAAAAATACTCATTCCATTGGCAAACTATATCATTTACCTGCTCAAATTAAGGGTAAATATACTTAATTTAAGGAACTTTTTACTTATTTCTAGATTGTTTTTCCAGTGTGACCTTTTGGTGAACTCAAGCAATCTGCACTCAATGCAGTCGAGCAGCTTCTAGCCAATGAAATGAGCTAATTTGGTCATGTGACACAACAGTTGGGCATAGCTTTGTTCCTGGCTGAATGAAGCTGAATGAGTTTTTCCTGTTAAATCAATATGATTACACAACGTCACCAAAAGGTCCTAACATTTGCAGCTGAATTTTCACCAGATAAAAATTCAGTGTAACGAAAATCAATTTTGTAAAAAAAGTTTAAAAAATTCAGTATACAAAAAAGGCAGATTTCTGAGACTGTTTTTCTTCCATTAATTTCATAAATGTAAGTCAATAAATGATAAAGATTTGTGTTTGTTTCTTGTTGTCAACTAAAACATACATGTGACATCAGATGTTTCATCTCTTAAAATACAAGTTTAGAAGTAAAGCTGCAGTTTTGTTAAAATATAAGCACAAATCGCATATTTTTGAGTGTGAATTTGTAAACCCTGATGAAGTTGTAACACTCATTACCAGCTGGGGGCGATAATGCACCTAATCAATGTTCACTAACTGGCTTAAAACATTGAGAGGTTGAAAATAGCTGCATTGTCATTAAAAACAACATTTCAGCAAAGATTGATTGATTAACTTTTAGGTGAAGGTTTTGTTTCTTCTCCTTCGTCTTTCTTCTTGTTCAAAGGTGATTAGTGAACAACCTTCAGCTGCATTACTGCCAACATGTAGTAAGGAGTTTAACATGATTTCTACTTCTAGATTTGTGATTTTTACTTAATTTTTTATTCCAAGATTCCATTCTGTGTAATCTTTTTTATATATATATAGCCATGTGGAAAAATTGCAGCTGCTGGAACATGTCTGAATAATGTTCTGTATACCTTTATGGTAACTGCACTTTTTCAGTAAATGAACCTCGTATTTAATAGGTTCAAAGAGACACAAAGTCTCGTTTTTATTGATTCCACTGGTAGTCTGTTTGATCAAATAGAGGCCTGCCTCCAAATCTGGCCTCCTTCAAATAATGGCCAGGACCAAGATGTACCTGAGTGAAAAAAAGGCCCCGTCCTATATTAGAGGATTTAAGGTATATAAATACCAATATAAACACCCTGTGCAATAACCCTGTATAATAATCCTACTATATTTAAAAAAAAAATAAAAAGCTATATGTAGACACATTGCATAAACTGTATCTATCCCAGGCACATTGTTGTTCTTGACTATTTGAGATAATGTAACAAGTCAATTTATCCACTGTGAGATCAATAAAAGCAACTAAATTAATCAGTCAATGAATCAATCATAAATTAGAGACTTATATCTCTATATTTGTAATTGGTACTTGTGGGTTTGCAAAGTTGTAACTTGAATCATCACTTCTAAACTTGTATTCTTAGATAAAACATGATGCAACATGCATGTGCACATGCAAGCTTGTCCTTCCACTCAATTTTCAGATTATATACACGTTTAAAATGAAAGCACTCTAAAAAGGCGTTTGTTTTTCTTTTGAGCAATAATCCTCTGTGGTTTTCCCTCATTGTGGAGGATTTCAACGACTGTTTGCTGCCTGTTGAGTCAACACTCTTCCTCGTGATTGCATAACACATTTATTGGGCTTATTTACGTTTCTACTTGTCTGAGAATTTAGTTTTTTCAGCTCTTATGATAACAAACAGGACAAAATACTCTCATTATATCAGCCTGGTTTTAATCAATCTGTGTTATACAAATACTCAACGTTTTGAACTGAATAAGTTAAAATAACCTTTCGAAATACATTTTATGTCTCCTGTTTGTTGAATAAATAACATACCAGAGGCATAATATTTACCCTTTGGTGGCGCAGTAAGAGCATCTTTGATTTGTGTGAGGTAGAGAACGATGGACAGCTTGTCAATCTGACCACTTGGAGACATGACGGGAGGGATGCCCAGCTCCTGCTGCACCACACTGAACGCCAGCTGGTGGTTGTGGACACTGTTTGACTCATCCAAGGAAGACATGTCACTTTGAGGGAAGGAGAGAAAAAAAACATGTTTGGCGTTAACGTCATAAAATCATTAGACAATTAAAACAACAACCTAAACTTTTAGACCAGATAAACACATTTTTTGAACAGGAAAACACCCAAACACCCACTATATGCAGCAGCTGTTCACTGAACCATACCATACCAACTTTATTTATGAAGCACTTTATGCACCGGACAGGACCAAAGTGCTGTACACAATCATAAAATACAATAAAATTATAAAATAGAAAAAAACAAGTGTAAAATACATATTAGTATACAAAGAGAATAAAACAAAGTAAAACCTCTCAAATTGTGCCAAAAGTCAAGGAAAAGAGATGAGTCTTAAAGGAATAGTACACCCAAAACATGATTAGCCTTCATTTTCTACTC